CCTTGCCTGTGGCTCTGCACCTGTGCATCTCTAACATCCACTGATTATACAACCATCAAAGTTGGAAGAGAACTTTAGGATAACCAAGTCCTAACATCCACCCAGCAGTATCAGGGTAACCCTTAAACCACTAAACCATATCACCCAGAACAGATCCAGATGCCTCTTAAACACCTTCAAGGATGGTGATTTCACCACCTCCCCGGGCAATCTATTCCAATGTCTGACCACCCTAACAATGAAAAATCTTTTTCTATTACTTAATCTGAATCTCCCCTGTATCAACTCAAGGCCATTCCCTCTGGTTCTTTCACTGCAGGCATGGTAGAAGAAATCAGTCTCTCTACCTGGACAGCACCTCGATGTCCTTTTAAAGTGAGGGGCCCAAAACTGGATGCAGCACTTGAAGTGTGGCCTCACCAGTACTGAGTACAGAGGGGAGATCACTGCCCTGGTCCTGCTGGCTACACTATCATTGATACAGGTCAGGATGCCATTGGCATTCTTGGCCACCTGGACACACACTGGATCATGTTCAGCCTCGGTTGACCAGCACTCCCAGGTCCTTTTCTGCTGGGCACTTTTACAGCCACTCTTCCCCCAGCCTGTAGTGCTGCTTGGGGTTGTTGTGACCCAAGTGCAGGACCCAGCACTTTTCCTTATTGAACCTCATGCAGTTGTCCTCAGTCCATTGATTGAGCCTGTCCAGATCCCTCTGCAGAGACTTCCTATCCTCAAATCAGATCAACACTCCCACACAACTTAGTGTCATCTGCAAATTTACTGAGGGTGCCACCAATCCCAATGTCCAAGTCATCAATAAAGATGTTAAACAAGACCAATCCCAAAACTGAGCCCTGGTGAGCACCACTAGCAACCAGCTGCCAAATGGATTTAGCTCCATTCACCACAATTCTCTGGGTCTGGACATGCAGCCAGTTTTTTACCCATTGAAGAGACCACCCATCCAGGTTGTGAGCAGCCAGTTTTTCTAGGAAAAGAGGTACTAGAGAAATGAGACATTCTGGTTTGTGTGGCAAACAGGGCTAACGGAGTTGCCAGATCTTCCTTTCTCCAAGTATCTCAGAACACTTAGCAGTTTTCTCAAAGCCTGGGCACCTGAAGTCCTGGAAACGTGGAAACTTCTTGCCCTGCTCTTAGGTGACTTCTGACAGTTGCAGGGAACTGGCTGAAAATGCGCCCTGCTGGCTCCAACATAGGCAGGCGAACCTAGAAAACCATCATTTACTGGTTTTAATCCTATTATTTTTAGATCACCCCATTGAGTGAGTTCTGAATTACAGTTTTTGGTTTGGCTTGTGGGCAAGCACAATGCACACAGGAAAGTGTTTGAGTGCTGTCCCACTGACCTGAGCTGCACCAAGAGGCAGCATATACCCTGTTGGACTTGTACAGGGGCAGGAAGGGGCACAAAACAATTGAGCCAAGAATCCAGTCTTCCCAAATAGATCTCTAGGGCTGGGGAATGCTTTCTAGCTTAATCCTCATTTTGTAGGTTTAATGCTTTCCTATGTGGGGTGCCATGTCTTTTTTCTACCACAGCTGATTTGAAATTAACCTTTACCTCCTACGGTCGCTGCACCCTGCCACACTGGGGAAGTTAATAGCATGGAAGAGTTTGAACTTGTGAAATGTTTCTATGACTGCATAGATTGAGCCACATTACCATGACAAATCACTGAAATCTGAGAAATCTAATTTACAACACAAATTTCTTTTTTTGTGTGTGTCTTTCCCAACTCAAATTCAAGTCAGAGAGTGTCTGGAATGTGCAGTAATTCTAATCTAGCAGAACTGTGGGTGTAAGAAGGATGAAAAACAATTGCATGAGGTCTCCAGGGCTGGTCTACAATGACTCCAAACCCTAAATTGCTTATCCCTTGAACGTGGTTTACAGCAGCAATGGATCCTGGCGGAGCTGTGTAACCAGCACTTAAATAAAGGGGAGGCAGCAGGACCTCCTGAATCAGTGGCATCTGTTCTGGGAAGGGCTTGCCCAGAAACAGCCACAGCAAGAAGGTACTGAAACCCACTGTCTCCTCCTAGAAACAGAATTGAAGATCACAAAGTAAAGACCCCTGCAAACAGCACTGGCCTCTGATTAAAAATAAATCCTTTCATGCACAGACAGTGGTTTGAGAAAGGAAAATATTGAACCGCAGTGAAATCTTGGAGAGTTCATGGCTGGACACCTTGGAGTGGAAACACCAGTAGCATCAATTCAGGTAGAGCTCTATACCCCCAGCCACTGGCATCAATGTACAAGAATATTCCCATCTCTCAAATTTAACTTCTTTCACAATAAAACTGATTTTTATGGTGCTTTTATCTGGGATAGTGTGAAAGTAACTCAGGAACAAGAGAGATGAAAGTCTGCTTGGTGTCACCGAGCCACCTCTGAAGCCAGGAAAATCATGACTCTCTTTAAACAGTTAGTGTTTTGCCCCAGTATGGGAATTGGCATCATTATTTCCAAGTGATGGGGGCTGCCACTGTCTCAGCCAGAACAATAAACAAAACAAAGCACTGTGGTGTGGTCCTCCTACCCCCTGTATTGCGCTCTCAGGACTAGCAGACAGCAGCAGAGATATTTGGGCACTTGGCAGGTTCACTTCTTCCTGTAAAATGCACTAAAGGAAGTACTGGTAAAATACATTATATGAATGGCCCACATAACTTACTGCTGTCACTTATAACTGAGAAGGAACTGCAAAGAATGGAACTGATATTTATAGGGGTGAAAACATCCTTCTTTACTCTGAGAGCATGGCTTACAGTTCTATGAACCTTTTGCAGAATTCAGATTTTCATAAAGCACCTGAAACAGGGGTTTGAAAATGGAGAACTGTTAAAAAACCTCAGCACCCTAAAGTCCACATCAAACCAGAAATGTTCCTCGTGAGCAGGTTAATATATAAATACACTTCACATCATATCTTTATTTCTGTGGAAGACCATTAAATTTCCAGGAAGTACCCAATGCTTCCTGGCACATACCAAGGGAGGCTGTGACCTGAGCAACAGCTGTAATGATCCCATCACAGACAGAATATTTTGCAGCATTCTACACAAATATTAATTCTAGTGCCAGCAAGTAGTTTTGCCTGGTCTTTTGCTGCCTGGTCAATTGCATATAAGTCACTCTTCCTCCACTGCAGGCTGCAATCCTCTCTTTCTTGACCAGATACTCAGTGGATTATTTTTGTCTCAGATCACATAGTCCCAATGGTACAATTACACACTGACCTCAAAGACTTGCTTTTAAAATTACCCTTCTTTAGCAAACCCTCTGTCTAGTGGGTTGGGTGGTTTTCTTATTTTTTATTTTTATATCTAAATGGTTAAATAGTGGGTGTGGTTGGGGAGAGAGGAAAAGAAGAAAGAGAAAGAAGCAGACAGAGCAAACAGTAGGGGAGACAGTTGTGAGGGTCACAAGTGCACTCAGGAGGGGGACATCCATGTACTCCAAAGAGAAGACCCTTGGCTTCCTCCCTTTCCTCAGTAACATCTTCTCCTGGAAGGTCAGTCCTTCCTGTCAACAAATGTCATTTCACTACAGAGAGAGTAACAGTCCCTCTTCCTCACAGCTACAGCTAAAGATTTATTCTTGGGAACCACTACCAGAGACCAAACAAACCAGGAAATTTCAAATATGGTGTGAAATTTGGAACTTTCCTGTAAGTGCTCACAGATGTTAAACATTTTACAAATAGAAGAGACAGAAAAGCAACTCAGAAGGGCTCTGAAGGGCCTAGAGGCAAACAAGCCTAGGACAGAGGTAGACAATCTTAACTGTAGAGATGTGTTCACAGTGAAACCCATGTAGGACAAGTGTAATTTGTCCATGTTGCTATTGAGCTGACAGTTCCATCAAATTTTTGAAAATCTTCATAGAATGCATGAAATCTCTTCAGGAGAGATGAGCATCTTCTCTGAGGATGACAAGCTGGAGGGAATAGGACAACAGTCTGTCCTTGCAAGGAAAAAAAGGGAAGCAATTCACAGGCTGTCAGGGGAAACTTCAAATATGCCTCAACTCACATCCAGGTTGTGCACACTACTTTTTGAGTTTGCTACACAACAGGACTTTCCCCTCCACACTATAAATAGCTTTAAAACCCATCTGAAATTGTTTTAAGGCTGATGGGAGCTGCAGTGAATTTACTCCAAGTGATAAAAGGAACTTTTGCTGGGCTGGTTGTGAAAGTTTGCCTTCTAGTAGCCACCTGTCAGCTGAGCAGTGGCTGCTCATCCATTGTGCTCATAATGGTATCCTTCATCCTTCACATCTTCAGGTGTGCATATCTATTCCACATTGTTCTGCACACCCTATTTTCTGTAGCCTTTTCTGCACACTGGCTATGTCTCAGTCCTGACAGGATGAGTTCCTTTTGTATCAAACCTCACCAACAAAAGCTCAGGACTAGTACCTGGAGAGGAGGCCTGCAAACAGTGTCCTGATGTATTTGAGAAGAAGGCAACTGTGACTCGGGTGACTCCTGCTCTGCATGGGAGTTTGATTGTGTAGGACAGATGTGAACATCATCCGATTGGAAACAATCTTTGAATGTTCCAAATAGTCCATGTTCCAGCTGTTTGGGATAAGACAATCCTCCTCCCTTTGTTCATCCTGCAGCTCCCCTTGTACACATCATCTTTTCCCCTTCTCCATTACTACGCCATTGCACTGGGGTGTTGTCCTGTGCTGTTGCACAGCTGGCTTCACCCACACCTGCAGTGACTGCATTTTATGGTGGCTGAAATAATCTTTGGTTTGGGGAGGGTTTTTTTGTCAATTTTGTGAAAAGCTTTTGAAGCCTATGAAATTGAAATGTACTTGATACCTTGCTGGAAGAGACAACAAGCTGGTTAGCACAGCCTTGGCTGGAGCAGAAAGCAGTATTAGAGCTCCAGTTAAATGATACCTATAAATGCTGGCAAGGGACACAGTGAGGATGAACAGGCATCTGTGTACTCACCATTTCTCTCATTTGGGTTTAAAAAGCCAAATCCATCTACGAACATTTGCTGAAAAGAGTTTGTTTCACGAATATCAGTCAGCAAGACATCAGTCAAAGGTATTCATCTATAAAATAAAAAAATTCAAATTCCAAACTTTGCTCTTTTAATGAGCTCTGGTAAATTTTCTCCCTTTTACAATCCTGGGGTCAATCAATTAGCAGCTGCTTAGGGGTGAAACTTAATTAAGCTCAGATAACACAACAGAGGTTTCACCTCAGCCTCCCTCTATACACATCCTCACTTACACATCTGGGTAAAAGCTTCACTGCAAAGCCTGGAGAGAGCAATTGCTTCAAGCAGAGTCTCTGAGAGCACATCTGAGCTCCCAAGAAGCATTGCAAACTCTTGCATCATGCAGAGGCAAAGCAGCAAGGAAACGAGAAGATCCACTCTGGCAAGCTGCTGCCACGGGGATAAGGTGTCACTGGGAACAACAAAAGGTGGTTTTACTGAGGAAACGTGGTGCCACGACTTATTAGTCTTTCAGCAGAAGCAGGAATCCTCGCACTGCTCTGATGGTGCTGCTCCTGCAGCAGGAGCGAGCCAGCCATTCAGGACTAGTCTGACAAATCTGGCTCCAGCTGCTCGACTTTATTAACGACAGAAGCCCTGGAGGGGTGGGATCCAGAGGCATCACAGCGATTTTTTTCCCCTTTCCTAAGCACAAAAGACAGAAGTGGAATGTAGCTGAGGAATGCTTCGCCCTTGGAAGGGATGTAATAAATCTCCTTGGATGTGATATTTGGTTTATTTTGTGGGAGTCATTCAAAAGGAAAATGCAGATTGTGGGGCTTAGTGCTCAGCCTATGCTGGCAAAGGATCCCCGACAAAGAATGTCCATTGGCAGGGAATTTCCTGACTTTGCAAGTGAGCAAACGCCTCTTTCTCAGTTACTCTAAAAGCTGTTTTGTTATTATATAAAAAGCTCAATAAAGCAGACAATGATCAGTTCTACTCCAGATTCACCAGAAGAAGGACAAGTAATCATCAGCCTTATTTGCAGGAGGAAGGATTTGAGCTGCTGGAGTAGCCTGAGCTATGCTCAAGAAAGTGCTTTTTCTTCAGGACGGTCTCCTGGGCCGCAGGGGGCAGCTGGGGAGGCTGCGGCATCCCAATTGCTGGAAGCATTTAACACCCACGTCATGCTCTGCTCCTGGGTGACTCCACCTTGGAGAGGGGGTGACAGCTTCAGAGATCTCCCAAAGTCCCTGCAAGCCCTCTGGTGATTATTACTGTATGATTATTATTTAATAGCAGGAGTTGCCAGCTTTGGGATGGGGACTTAAGGAGGATTCTTCCTGTACCTAAGGTCACTGTAACTAGGGATGTGTTAGCAGGCAGAGGTCAGGGAAGAAGAAAACAGAAGGGTACTGATGTGGAGATGGATTGGATTTACTGCAGCAGTATGGCAAAGAAAAAGCCCAAAGGTCACTATGGACCCACCACAGAGCAGAATGACAGCAGGCTCACTGAGAGTGGTGGGCAGGCAGGAGGGAATGGATTTATCCTGGGTGCTCAGGTCTACAAGAGAAGTCCAAGGGGAAGTCATGACAGAGGCCAGATGAATGGCTGTAAGCCACCTGGGACCCCTAAACCATCTTTAAAGGGGACCTGGAAGGGAAGAGGAGCAGACCCCATGGAGCCGACCACAGCTGTCTGCAGCAGTTCTACCATTGATAGAATCACCACAGTAGAAGATAGAGGGGGTATACAAGTTATTTTTCCATGGTAAATACTTAATTATTACCCCTGGTGGTAAAGTTAAGTTCCAGCTGTGAAATGCCCAAAGCCCTTCCACCTGCCTGTTTGGATGGAAGTGGAGTAGCCTGAGCAGGCAGAGCTACCATTATAGCACCAGGACACCTGGGGAAAGGTGGGAGTGTGGTCCCTACACACACTCAGTGAACCCCAGAAACTGCCCAGGCTATGAGTGGGCATCACTGATGGAGACCACAGTTCAGAGGGGTCAGCCATACAAGCCTTCATCTTTGCTGCTCTGCTCATCCTCCAAAAATACAATCTTACTCACTCCATCAGGTTACTGGAGACTCCCCTTTCTCATCTGCTTATGAGAAGAGATTAAAAAGGATAGCAGATGTTGGCTAAGATTTTGATTTCCTAGAAGAGAACGTGTTTGCAGTGCTCTGTGGAGGGATGAAGGCCTCTACAATAGATTGTAAGAGTACTTCAGGTTGTTGCCCGCCGTTGTCACCTGCAGGGAATTACGTGTTTTCAGTGTCTCCTGTCTTGCCAGGGAACACAAATATCTTCTGTGCTGCACCCTGTGTTTTCACATGGAGAGGAGGTGCCTGTGTGAAGCAAGTGACCTTATCAAGGATTTAGCACTCTTGGGTTTTTACCAGGGCTGGACTGAGCACTTTGCTACTGTTATCACTCCTATTGATTTTACATTTATAGAGAGCTGCAAATTTACACAGTGCTTAATAAACACAAAGTTTCCTGGACTGCAACTAGTATATGAGAACTGGGAGGCATTAAAACAAACAAACAAACAAACAAAATACAGCATGATTAAAAAAAAAACCCAACAATTACATTTCTATGTTATTTTTTCCACTACAGTCACAGGCTGAAGATTAGGGGATGTGTCGCCACACTCCCATACAGCCACACACACATCAAGACATTGCAAGAGCAAATGGATCCAACATCTTCCCAGACAAAATGGCAATTTTGTACCATTTGTCCCATGACATCATGCAAAGTTTTGGACAGAGGGGTCTAAATTGTGTTGGGTAAGAGTAAACCAGCAGAAGACCTTTGGTTCTACTCCTGCTATGCCACTGAAAATTTCACCCAAGTTTTCTAAAGATGCAAGTATTTTCCTCCTGCAGGAGTGGGGCCATGAGTCTCAGACTGGGATACAACGTGAGACATCACTGGACTGAGGTATTTGTGAGCAGGAAAGTGATAGTTGAATTTAATTCCCTCAGGGCACAGCACCATTATCATCACAAACATTTTGTCTGGACAAATTATTTATTCATCAGCTTAAAAATTAAACCCTTTTTGCTTGTGGGTGTTTAAAAAATATGTTTTTTCTAAATGAACCTCTGAGAGCAGAATTAACATCCTCATCACCTCCACCATGTATCTGAAAATATCACCTTGTGTGACACTTTGTGGCAGAGAGACTCAAAAGAAGGAAAAGGAATAGCAAACAACCATGGGGACAGAGAAACTGGAAGATGCAAGGGAAAAGTGGAAGTCATGCAGCTTTGACCAAAGGGAAAGGAGCACATGCTGAATCCAGATAATCTCTGAAGAATCAGACAGGTAGGTTGAACGATTTCTAAAAAGCAGTGGTTTAGGCTCCAGATCTGAGTCATCACATCCTGGTGATCAAAGGGGACTAGACAACAGTAAGTTTAAGTCCAGTGTTTGGGAAGCACTCACGTTAGTAGAAACAAATGCCTGAAAGTGTTGTTTGAGGGGAAAAAACCCCAAACCCAACAAAAGACCTCCCAGAACAAAAAAGACTTTAAGTGCAGAGATGACATGTGGTACAGCAGAATCTCTGTCAGGAAACCCTGTGAGATACACACTCCCGCCAAGAATTTGGGTCTTCTGCTGCAAGTTCTGTCTTCAGCCCCTCCCAAGGAGTTAAAGTTCTGCCACTCTTCCCTCACTGCTTTTGCTGCAGCCCTGGCTGTGAATCAGGCGCACTGCTCACACAAGTTTACCTTGGCAGGATGTGAATGTCTACTGCGGACTACAGGGTGTGGACAAGTGTGCCCAGGGCCTTTCTGCACAGCTTCTCCATATTCTCCAGAGGCTGGCACGGATAAATGGCCCAGCCTTGGAAAATATTATCGTCTCCCAGAGAATGCTGGTTCTGAGCTGTACCCAAAGGAAGCTAGGCAGCACTCAGGGGAAAACTTAATAAGCAGCTGGGTGAAACTCCCTGGGTTCTACAGATGGAGGGAAGCAGAAACGTCTGCTTTTGAGAAGTTCACCTGAGAAAAACATTCCCTTACATCTTAGCCTTGACACTGGGCTTTCAGCCCAGTGTGTGCCTATGTGCCATACACAGTGCCACCTAACAGATTTTTGGAGTGCTGGGCACGCCTGGATGTAACATATTTATTTCTCTGCCTCTTCCACCAGGCTATCCCAAATACTTGACCAGGTGTTAACAGCTTGACACTCCAAGGTCCCACAGCAGAATTTCCCCAAGTACTGCTTCTAGTGAGTAGGACCCACATATCCAAACGAAGTTCTGCAACCACTTTCCAGGTATCTTCTGAACCTCTCACACAGAGGCCAAAGGCAGTCTGTCCAGTTCTATGATCCCACAGGGAATTGCATATTGTTCTAAATATGAATTTTCTCTCAATATGTGACTGCCTATCTTAGCAAAACAATCATGAGGGCTAAGCTCTGGTGGTTCTGCTGTGCACAATGTTACCCAGAGTCCTTGTCAGTGCTCTTCACTGAACATTTCAACTTCACTTTAAGCCACCATTGCTCCATCAGTACATCTTAATGCATCTGCCAGGCAAGAGATCATGTGATTCAATTTGAAGTTTTTCTACATGGGCCAATAGATATCAGAGTCTGTATATGAGCATATACAAGTTATTTTCAGCTCATCTGTGACATGCAATTCCACCCACCAGGCTTGCAGAGATATATAAATCATGGAGTTGTCTAAAATAACAGGCCCTGAGGAAACATCTGTCACCTTTTCAAGCTTGGGAGGGAGGAGGATGAAGCATTCAACTCCACAACTTACTGAATTTTCTTTTAGCTCTAAGACAGCAGAGAGCAGCAAGTCTTTCTGACACAGCCCAGATGCCCTGGCAGTTGGGTATTCTCATTGACTTCACACTGCGTTTGACCTGTGAGCGTAACACAGGCAATACTGATACGCTCAGCAATTTGGATGACATTTGTGCCATCTCTCACCCTTATCATCAAAAGAAAAGGATTGCTTCAATTCTCTCTTGTTTCTGTGGGCTTTATCCCCCCAAAGTGACTGGTGGTTGGCCCTTTGCACTCGATCTCTTAATCAAAGGAAAACAGAACTTGCTGTGTTGGAATCTACTGACAGCTGTTCTAGTCCTGAAACCCGCCACCGCCTGCGCATGGGAAGCGTGTGGGCCAGAGCCTCGCCTATGCTACAGATACTCCCATTTTCACTGGAAAAATCAGGAAAAGCTGTGAAGTTGTTTATTTGCCCTCTCTCTCGCTCCTCCCTTCTTTTGAATTGATCTGATCTTCTCTCTTGGACCTCAACCCCACTCACTTTTTGCTGCTCGTCCTAGTGGAGAAAACCGCAATGGAGCAGGGTAAGGAGACGGAAACGATTTCCCCCCCGCCGCCGGGCGCCCCAGCCGCGGAGCCGCCATGAGCGCCGCCCGCCGCGCGCTCGCTGACGGGGCGCCGTGAGGGCAGCGCGCGGCCCGCCCGCGGCGGCGCTGCCCCCTGGCGGCGGGCGGGCGGCACTGCCGTGTTCTGCTGCGTCCGGGTCCGTGTCCTCGTCCTCGTCCTCATCCTCATCCTCATCCTCATCCTCATCCTCATCCTCATCCTCATCCTCATCCTCATCCAAATCCTCGACCGTGCCGTGTCCCTGTCCGTGCCCATGGCTGTGTGCTGTAGCTATGCTCTGGCCTGTGCCAGTGCCCGTGCCCGTGCCAGGGCCGTGCCCTTTTCCATGTCTGTGCATGTGGCCTTGTTGGTGGCATGGCCCTGGCCATGCTCTGCCTGTGGCTGTGCCCATGGCATTTTGACTGTGGCCGTGGCCATGGCCATGTCCACGTCCTTGCCTGCACCTGTGCTGTAGCCATGTCCAAGAGCCTTTTTGCCCATGGCCACGCTCATTGCCCTGGCATTTTAGTCTGTGATATGTCCTTGTCCATGCTTATGCTTTGGCTTATGCTTATGCGTGGGCATGACCATGGCCATGACAAGTGTCCTTGTCCATAGCCATGATGCAGCCATGACTATGCCATGGTAGTGGCTGTGGCTATAGCTTTGTCTATGCCATGCCCATGTCCTTGTCTGTGCCTGTAATGTGGCTGTGGCCGTGGCCATGCTGTGGCTGTGGCGTTGTCTGTGCCTGTGGCCATGCTGTGTCCGTGCCCATGTCTATGCCATAGCCATGGCCATGCCAGTGTCTGCACCATGTGCTCCATGAGTGCTGAGCCAAGCCTCGAGACCGAGGTTGTTTTGGTAGATAAAGCTACACGGCAGACCCACTGCCCAGGCCGTAAAAGGACAGCTGAGTATTCCCTCCTCCGATGTATTTCACCCCCCCTCCCCGCAGTTACCGGTGATTTTCCGGAAAGTTTGCGCAATCTTTCCTGTAAAACCCGCTGGTCTTTAACGTCATTTTAGTCAGAAAAAAACCCAAACAGCAAAAAACCCAAAGCGAAGCCCCGGAACGCCTGTGTACCGCGGGTGCCCGGCCCCGGGCGCTGGTGCCGATCCGGAGCAGGGGCGCCGGGCGGGCCCGGGCAGCCGCGGCACGCGGAGCCGCGCGCACCCGGCACGGCCGCCAGAGGGCGCCGCCGCCGCGGCCACGGCGGGCCAGGGCGGGTCCGCGTGCGCCGCCGTGCGCGCTCCCGCGGGCATCCCGGGAACGCGCCGGGAAAAGCGGCTCGGTCGGGTCGTACCTTGGGACGGGCTTCGAGCTGCAGAGCCGGCCTGAGTCAGGCCTGCCCAGCCCTTATCTCGAGATGTCCATCCCAGCAGAGAGGCGCTGCCTCCCCTCCATCCTTAAGCACGGCCGTGGGAGAGAAGTCTTCGAATGGCCGCTCTGGCTAAGCGTCCACTTCTTCAGCTCCAGCCGAAAACGTACTGGTTTCACTAAGCCAAGAGGGAAGCTTTCCTTGGGGCATGCAGGCCAGAGGTGACACTAAAGCTGCCTCTGATAGGAGAGGTCATTGTGTAGGGGTTCCTGTACATCTTTGGATCGATGCACTGATAGACGAGCACCAGCCTCGTCCAAATGCCAAAACAGGTCCAAGATGTAAACATGGAGGAAGATTGTCAAGGAGGAGATAACTGAGAATGTAATTACCTGTCCAAGCTGACTATTTCCCTACTGAATAAAGCTGGCTTTGTAACTTAGAAGAGCAGTTCAAATGGTAGAGCTGGTTTTCACTGGCAGCTTGGCCTCTAAGCGGAATGCTGTGAGCAGCATGACATTTCATGCCAACTGCAAACTTGCTGAGGGGCTGGGGAAAGACCCAACACTGAAGGCCCAGCAGCCACGGCTATACTGTTGGGAGTTGCTAGCTGGAAGCTGGCTCCAGCCTGTCTCCACAGCCCTGGCAGCAAGGTGACCGTGCAGTGAAAAGTGCTACTGCTCACTGTGCATCAGTATGTTGATGGTGTTAAGTCATCTGTTCCCTGCCGGAGCCTGGGTTTGCAGTGCAGAAGGATAGGATAAGTAAGGAATAAATTCTTTCAATTTTTGCAGTCTGTTCACTTATGTTCTGAATTGCACCAAACATCTACCTTTTGCAAAACCACCCAGTATTTAAAACAGAATTTAAAAAAAGCTAGAAAACTAAAGTTCAGAGTTAACCCAGGTTAGCTCCCCACCCTTGTAAAAACTAGGATTTATAAAGCATTCTTAGTGCTTGGCTACAGAGAAAATCCCATATTCAAGAAGTGATCAAAGTTGTATCAGGTAGAGGATAATTAGCAGAACATGGGAAGTTGCACAGACATGAATGTTCTTGGTGACAGCAGACTGCACTGACAAATATACATTTGACAAAGTGATGTAAAGTGGTAGCAGATCACCTTAATGAGAGGGATAGAAGAAGGAGCTATATAACGGCGTCCTTACAGATTCTTCACACGTGCAAGAGCTGATTGCCAGTGCCATTGCTGTGTCAGTATCTTTAATGTTTTATCTTTGATGTTGGCTCAGCACACTCTAGGACCTGCAGTTTCTGCATAGAAGTAGCTCTTTAGGCTGCCTTGGGTTGCCAAGCTGTCTCCAGGTCATGCAGAGGAAAGAACGTCTATAGAAACAGAAGTGGAAATCAGTGGAAGATCTATAAAGTGATGCCAACTTATGAAAAATCTGCAAGAAACATGGTGAAATCGAACACACTGTGTAGTGCATTTGGTAAGAAACTACACAGAATATTGTCTGTATATAGGCTGGGAAATATAAAGAATTATAAAATGCATATACAGGCTGAGCTGTCTGCCCCAGAGAGAGCACAGGCAGATCTTTCCCAGCCACAAAGGATTGCAGAGACTGAAGCGAAGTGCAGCAAGTCGAGCATCAGACATGGAAGACTTCAGTCTGAAGTCCAAATCGTGGACACTGACAATGATAGAAACAGGAAGCTGCTCAGGAACAGATTGTCCTGGAACAGTTCACCAAACATCCTATTCCTTTTAACAGATACTCCATGGGCAGTTTCTCAGTTGTAGTGCATATTATTTAGAGGAGGAAATATCTGGATAATTAGTAAGTTCTTCAGAAGATGGCAACAAAGTTCAAAAACTTATATACTGAACAAAGACATAGATGCCAGTGAGCTTCTAGTGAGTGCAGATTTTTATTGGTTAAAAAGTAGTCAGAACCAGAGTCTGGAGAAGTTTATCCCTGGAAGTTGGTTGGGTTTTTTGGTCTTTTTTTTTGACCATAACAGTACCCAATTACTATTTCTGGTACTATAATCTACTTTAATAAGCAAATTCCCTCAAACAGCAGTTGGCCCTAATAGATCCCTCTTCTTTTCCCATGTCCTTGGCCACATATTGCTTGCTGTGCCAAGTGCTAAATGGCTCTTGGAAAGTGCTAAGAGGGTGCTAAGCCGAGTTTCACAAACAACTGCCTGTACAGAGAAATAGTCCTGTTGATAGGTGGTACCAGGAGTACCTGGTTGAAGACCCTTGTTTTGACAAGATTTGAGAACTGAACTTCACAGTTGCCTTGAGGTAATTTAAGTGAGACTTTTTTATCTTGTGGAAGTGAAGGTTTCTTTGACCCTGACTGAAATGAAACCACTGAATGCTTTGTCAGAAATATTTGACAAGATCAGTATGTTCCTGCTAACTAGGTCAAGTTCATCCTCTCTGCTTGCTCCACCAGCAACCACCTCAGCCATCAGTCTTGGCACCTGGTAATTCTCAGAAGTGAAAAGCGGTTCCTGGAAGATGATGGAAAGGAAGGCCCTGATGTGAACTTGTCTTCTGAAGCACCAGACAAAGTCAAGAAGAATCCCAAAGTATCCACACTGCAAAGAGGCACTGAATGCCAATGCTTGTTCAAACATTTCCCAGCTAATCACCATTGTCTGGCCATTGGCAAAAGTTAAAAAAACCGGAATGATGTGTTTTATTTTCTCCAACAAATGGCATCATGTTGGGGTCACCAATAAGCATTGCCCAGCATATAAACTGCAATCTACAAGTAGAGGAGGAGATCCACCATACAAGAACCCCCTTAATGGCAAGAATGTTTCAAGAAAGGGGAGCAGATGGGGTCTTTCAAGTGAAGCAGTTTCCCTGGTGAACCGTCTCAGTCTGAGGTTACATCTTGTCTTTGTAAGTGTTGGAAGATGTGGGTCTTGCCCTGTGTGCACATGAATTGAGATCACAAGACACCCCTTTGCACTGTTAGTCACTGTCACTTGGGGCATCTCTGTGACACTGGGCTGTCGCACATGGATTTACTCCAGGGAGTGCTGACATGGACTGGCTTCCAGCCCGAGTAAGCAAACACTCTGTGACTAATCGGTAAAGTTACTTATTTTAACTCTAACCCAAAAGATTTGCAAAAAACAACTCCTTCTTTAGTTGGCGATTATATTGTTTATTTTATGGGATGCTTCAGATGCTATGAATTTCTGTATAAAATAGATGTAGTATCATGAACATTGAGGGGTGCCTTGATAATCGTTTTAATTTTGTAATTAAATTTTTGCAATTACTGCAGGTTAGATGCTTGCTAATACATTTAAATCAGTCCAATGAATTGGGTTTTTATCCTAACAACACATTTTGAAAGCACATGCTTCCCTTAAGTAGCATAGCATCTGTAACTGTTTTACTGAGCTATTTGGGTTTAGAAATGTGTTTATTATGAAAAATGCCACAGAGCCCGTTATGTCCTATGTAGTGTTTGCCATATAAGCTATTTATAAGGCAAGCTATTTATAAGGAAAGTCATTCATAAAGAGAGTTAGTTAGATTTATTTATAAGGAAAAGCTAGGCTCATCTCATTTTATAGTTGGAGATGTTATGGCACAGGGACAGGTGAAAAGTTTCCTCAGTGTCTTGCAGCAAGTC